TGACGCATTCATGGATTACCATGACATATTAATTACCATGACACATTCATTACCATGACACATTAATTACCATGACACATTCATTACCATGACACATTCATTACCATGACACATTCATTACCATGACATATTCATTACCATGACACATTCATTACCATGACACATTCATGGCTTACCATGACACATTCATTACCATGACATATTCATTACCATGACATATTCATTACCATGACATATTCATTACCATGACACATTCATTACCATGACACATTCATTACCATGACACATTCATTACCATGACATATTCATTACCATGACACATTCATTACCATGACACATTCATGGCTTACCATGACACATTCATTACCATGACATATTCATTACCATGACACATTCATTACCATGACACATTCATGGCTTACCATGACACATTCATTACCATGACATATTCATTACCATGACATATTCATTACCATGACACATTAATTACCATGACACATTCATTATCATGACATATTCATTACCATGACACATTCATTACCATGACATATTCATTACCATGACATTCATTACCATGACATATTCATTACCATGACGCATTCATGGATTACCATGACATATTCATTACCATGACACATTCATGGATTACCATGACACATTCATTACCATGACGCATTCATGGATTACCATGACATATTAATTACCATGACACATTCATTACCATGACACATTCATTACCATGACACATTCATTACCATGACATATTCAGTACCATGACACATTCATTACCATGACATATTCATTACCATGACACATTCATTACCATGACACATTCATTACCATGACACATTCATTACCATGACACATTCATTACCATGACATATTCATTACCATGACACATTCATTACCATGACACATTTATTTTCATGACATATTAATTACCATGACATATTCATTACCATGACACATTCATTACCATGACACATTCATTACCATGACATATTCATTACCATGACATATTAATTACCATGACACATTCATTACCCTGACACATTCATTACCCTGACACATTCATTACCCTGACACATTCATTACCATGACATATTCATTACCAAGACATATTCATTACCATGACACATTCATTACCATGACACATTCATTACCCTGACACATTCATTACCATGACATATTCATTACCAAGACATATTCATTACCATGACACATTCATTACCATGACATATTCATTACCATGACACATTCATTACCATGACATATTCATTACCATGACACATTCATTACCATGACACATTCATTACCATGACACATTCATTACCCTGACACATTCATTACCATGACATATTCATTACCATGACACATTCATTACCATGACATATTCATTATCATGACACATTCATTACCATGACACATTCATTATCATGACACATTCATTACCATGACACATTCATTACCATGACACATTCATTACCCTGACACATTCATTACCATGACATATTCATTACCATGACACATTCATTACCATGACACATTCATTACCATGACTCATTCATTACCATGACATATTCATTACCATGACACATTCATTACCATGACATATTCATTACCATGACACATTCATTACCATGACACATTCATTATCATGACACATTCATTATCATGATACATTCATTATCATGACATATTCATTACCATGACACATTCATGGCTTACCATGACACATTCATTATCATGACATATTCATTACCATGACACATTCATTACCATGACACATTCATTATCATGACACATTCATTATCATGACACATTCATTATCATGACATATTCATTACCATGACACATTCATGGCTTACCATGACACATTCATTATCATGACATATTCATTACCATGACACATTCATTACCATGACACATTCATTACCATGACACATTCATTACCATGACACATTCATGGCTTACCATGACACATTCATTACCATGACACATTCATTACCATGACATATTCATTACCATGACACATTCATGGATTACCATGACACATTCATTACCATGACGCATTCATGGATTACCATGACATATTAATTACCATGACACATTCATTACCATGACACATTCATTACCATGACACATTCATTACCATGACATATTCATTACCATGACACATTCATTACCATGACACATTCATTACCATGACACATTCATTACCATGACACATTCATTACCATGACACATTCATTACCATGACATATTCATTACCATGACACATTCATTACCATGACACATTCATGGCTTACCATGACACATTCATTACCATGACACATTCATTACCATGACACGTTCATGGCTTACCATGACACATTCATTACCATGACATATTCATTACCATGACATATTCATTACCATGACACATTCATTACCATGACACATTAATTACCATGACACATTCATTACCATGACACATTCATTACCATGACACATTCATTACCATGACATATTCATTACCATGACACATTCATTACCATGACACATTCATGGCTTACCATGACACATTCATTACCATGACACATTAATTACCATGACACATTCATGGCTTACCATGACACATTCATTACCATGACATATTCATTACCATGACATATTCATTACCATGACACATTCATTACCATGACACATTCATTATCATGACATATTCATTACCATGACACATTCATTACCATGACATATTCATTACCATGACATTCATTACCATGACATATTCATTACCATGATGCATTCATGGATTACCATGACATATTCATTACCATGACACATTCATGGATTACCATGACACATTCATTACCATGACGCATTCATGGATTACCATGACATATTAATTACCATGACACATTCATTACCATGACACATTCATTACCATGACACATTCATTATCATGACATATTCATTACCTTGACATATTCATTACCATGACACATTCATTACCATGACACATTCATTACCATGACATATTCAGTACCATGACACATTCATTACCATGACATATTCATTACCATGACACATTCATTACCATGACATATTCATTACCATGACACATTCATTACCATGACACATTCATTACCATGACACATTCATTACCATGACATATTCATTACCATGACACATTCATTACCATGACACATTTATTTTCATGACATATTCATTACCATGACATATTCATTACCATGACATATTCATTACCATGACACATTCATTATCATGACACATTCATTACCCTGACACATTCATTACCCTGACACATTCATTACCCTGACACATTAATTACCATGACATATTCATTACCAAGACATATTCATTACCATGACACATTCATTACCATGACACATTCATTACCCTGACACATTCATTACCATGACATATTCATTACCAAGACATATTCATTACCATGACACATTCATTACCATGACATATTCATTACCATGACACATTCATTACCATGACATATTCATTACCATGACACATTCATTACCCTGACACATTCATTACCATGACATATTCATTACCATGACACATTCATTACCATGACACATTCATTATCATGACACATTCATTACCATGACACATTCATTACCATGACATATTCATTACCATGACACATTAATTACCATGACATATTCATTACCATGACATATTCATTATCATGACACATTCATTACCATGACATATTCATTACCATGACACATTCATTACCATGACATATTCATTACCATGACACATTTATTTTCATGACATATTCATTATCATGACACATTCATTACCATGACATATTCATTACCATGACACATTCATTATCATGACACATTCATTACCATGACATATTCATTACCATGACATATTCATTACCATGACACATTCATTACCATGACACATTCATTACCATGACATATTCATTATCATGACATATTCAGTACCATGACATATTCATTACCATGACACATTCATTACCATGACATATTCATTACCATGACACATTCATTACCATGACATATTCATTACCATGACATATTCATTACCATGACACATTCATTACCATGACATATTCATTACCAAGACATATTCATTACCATGACACATTCATTACCATGACACATTCATGGCTTACCATGACACATTCATTACCATGACATATTCATTACCATGACATATTCATTACCATGACACATTCATTACCATGACACATTCATTATCATGACACATTCATTACCATGACATATTCATTACCATGACACATTCATTACCCTGACACATTCATTACCATGACATATTCATTACCATGACACATTCATTACCATGACACATTCATTATCATGACACATTCATTACCATGACACATTCATTACCATGACATATTCATTACCATGACACATTAATTACCATGACATATTCATTACCATGACACATTCATTATCATGACACATTCATTACCATGACATATTCATTACCATGACACATTCATTACCATGACATATTCATTACCATGACACATTTATTTTCATGACATATTCATTATCATGACACATTCATTACCATGACATATTCATTACCATGACACATTCATTATCATGACACATTCATTACCATGACATATTCATTACCATGACATATTCATTACCATGACACATTCATTACCATGACACATTCATTACCATGACATATTAATTATCATGACATATTCAGTACCATGACATATTCATTACCATGACACATTCATTACCATGACATATTCATTACCATGACACATTCATTACCATAACACATTCATTACCATGACACATTCATTACCATGACACATTCATTATCATGACACATTCATTACCATGACATATTCATTACCATGACACATTCATTATCATGACACATTCATTACCATGGCATATTCATTATCATGACACATTCATTACCATGACATATTCATTACCATGACACATTCATTACCATGACACATTCATTAAATACCTTTGGTGGGAAACACCCTAAATGTGTCAAACAATGTTTTCATTTTCACTGCCGGACGAAGTCCTGTCCAAGAAGTGTCAGTTATGGGCGTTGTTTGACCCTCTACTGCCAAATCCTGGCCGGTAACGTTGGATGAAGTGGGATAAACAGGGCCGGTTTGGATATCGCTCGCCGCTGATGTTCGCCGTGGCTGGAAATCAAACTCGGGTAGCCTGGGGGTTCAAATCACTACACACCGCTTCACAACATTTCAAAAATACATATCCTTCTAAAATACATATCCTATGTGTTATAGAAATGTATTGCACCTAAAAAAGACAGTTTCATACGGGGAGGGAGGGGGGGGGGGTCTCTCTTATTTAATGTTTATTTTTTAATCCGCAAGATACACACGCAGCTCGAGAACCCCGTTTAACAAAGCACCATCTGACTCTGACAACTCTGCCAACCTGTACTCCAATCCTGCAGGGCATTTCCTGGAAATGAACGCGGCGCCGACTTGCAGGTGGCACTGCGATTGTCTGGTCAAAGACGCAGACACCCACGCTTGGCGCGATCGATGCGCCAAGCGTGAAACTAACTCAATTGAATCATGCTAATCAACTCACCGTCATTCTGTAGCTCGACTGCTGCAAGGCGGCTTCTCCATACGATTACAGTCGTGGCGGGCTGTTTGACCATACTCCACCACGCTGGTCAGCGCAAGGATGACGAAGAGGGTGCCGAAGACCGGATATCACCGAGACTCACCGCCGATGTCAGCCATGGCCGAGAATCGAATCAGAATCTGAATATTTATTTATACTGGAGGAATCACGATGAGCTATGAAGCTCTTTGTCACAGATGGCCAGTAAATTGACCTCGGGTCACGCCCCACCGCTCCAACCCATCCCGAAATCAATTCAATGCGTTTTATAAACGGATCTCTGTCACAAAGATTGCGCCAATAACAATGCAGAGCACACGCTTTAAGACTGTCCCCTTAATTAAATCACGTGACGATTGCAACTCTGCTGCTCGTACCCACCCCACGTCACCAACCAGGGTGGTGAAGTATGGTCAAACGACTCTCACGATCAAAATGCCTTCGGGGGGAGACCTTTCATCCAGCAGTCGATTGGCCGTAGATTGTAAAGGTGCAGGCCTTGCAAATGTCTTGCCCACGTCACTGTTACATTGTTTTTATAGCTTTATTTTGGTAATTTCGAAAACGTTTGTTTGTTGTCGTGCAGAGTTAGACCGATAACTTTAATCTAAATTGTCTTATGGTTGCTATTGTTTGACTTGCATCCCACTGGGATTTTTGCACACAGCGTTGGTGTACGGTGCTTCTTCTGAAAGACTTTGCCGGTTTTTTTCCAGGATTATTCTGTTTGCGCGTAGTCACCTCAAAGATGTTTTCTTGTTCATGTTTTTGTTTTGTTGTGGTTGCACCCGATTCAAGAGCCGCATAGCTCACAGGGCTATTACTTAATCAATGAAACTGAAATCGAAACTGCTGGCAGAAGGGCCTCCAGGACTTCTAGGGTTCTTCTCCCGGAGTAATTTGGCCTACTCTTCCACGATGGCCACATGTCTTTGATGACGGGGGAGGGCCCACTCACCGCAGGTCACTTGCCAATCGACTACAGCGTAAACCGTTTATTTAGCTGGGTTTGTTTTATTTTAAGAAACCTGCAGCATTGTTTCATCTGCCACACCAGGAGATTGAACCGGCGATCTGTGGATCACAAAAAGATAAATTACATAGTATCGTTATTTCGAATACAGTATATATATATACCCACATACAAGGGCTGAATAATACACCGGTATGTACAGTGTAAGAAGCCATACATTATTGCTTTGCTGTCTTGTCCGATTGCGATCACAAGCCGACACACGGAAATAACGCCAACCTCAGGGCGGGGTTTAAGATATTTATATTTTTTCTAACGCATCAGCTTTCTGCAAAGGCTCCACACACAGACGCAGGCACGTCAAAAAAAATCCTCTCCGAAAAACTTCAAAAGATCGAGTCGCCGTAGAAGTGGCGCGGTCCGAGTTGTCGGCATTCTCCGGAGATGTTCCAACGTTTCCGTCTTCATTTCTTTTTCAAGTTCCATGGGCAGCGTTGAGTCTCGATCTTCGTCTTCTTCTTCTTCCCTACGGCTGATGTAGATGCAGAGCAACAACCACAATTTCATATTCAGGTGTGTTCCCGAGTTTGTGTGCGTGTGTGTTTGTGTCACTTCGGCGAGCGGTTGTGTAGCAGGTTAGCGCACTGAGCTACGAACCTTCTTCTCCGACACAGCCACTCCGCCTGGCCCTTCTCGTATATTCGCAGCAAGGGCAGTTAAAGAAAACAACAACAACGAGGTGATTATGTAATATTTTTCGCCGCCGCAGCAACAAAAAGAGGCCAAACAAATGAAAATAAAATTGTTCTGCAATTATTCGCGAGGCATGCACGTGCAGTAGCATTGTTTATAATCCCTCCCGCCCCACGTGTGTGAAAACACTGATGGGGATAACAAACAATGGGAATTAAAAAACGCAGGGTGGAATGTTGCCTAAAGCGCCGCTGTTGCCGCTGTTTCCGCCGCTGTTGTTGTTGTTGTTGTGTCAACCGCGCCGAGACGTTGCTCGCTGCGTGTTTGATCACGCATCAACTCGTGGTTGCCACCTATCCTGGTCTTCCCAGGATCGTCCTCTTCAATTCGCTCATTTCTCCCTCGTGGGGAACTCCCCAAGTCTCTCCTGGGACATTAAGAGTCCTGTTGTTTTTACTTGTCAGTTGAGTGATTATAATAATAATGATGATAAACAATGATGATGCACAACTCAATACAACGTCTTCTTTGGTTCTTTCGGTAAAGTCACGTAGAATGAGAATACAATAATAAATTGATAAAATAAAATAACACAATAATATTGTCACGACGTTTCGGCCACAACACAAGCGGCCTTCATCAGGTGAAGGGGACGAGACTGTCTGGAGGACAGCGCTGGAGTGTCAGTCTCGTCCCTTCACCTGATGAAGGCCGCTTGTGTTGTGGCCGAAACGTCGTGAGAATATTATTGTGTTATTTTATTTTATCAATTTAATATTTTATTCGCATTCTACGTGACTTTACCGAAAGAACCAAAGAAGATGAATCCTTGCAGTCACGAAAGCTTTAAATCGAAATTCAATACAACGTGTTCACCTCCAGCTTCGCCTCCTTCTGGCACCATCAAATCTTATTTTGCGTCTCAGAGCTGGCAACCGTAGTCTTTGTGCAAGTCTCCCTCGGAAGACGGCCCTCTCCCAGTAGCCGCAGCTATCGAGCGTGCAGGCAGGCAGTGCAACTGCTCCGGCAGTGGCTATCAAGAAGAAGACGAAGAAGAAGAGGGTGAATATCACACACACAGAGGGCGTCCCCCGTACGTACGTATGTAAATTGAATCTCTTTCGCACCGTACGTAGCCAACCACGCCCATCGGTTTCAAAGGCAACGATCCCCCGTATCGCCTGAGCAGACCGTAGGGGCAAGTGCTGTTCGGGAGCAGCACCTATGAAGGTCGCCATGGGTACACGAGGGGGTGGGTTGGCCAGCACCGCCTTCGTCTCCCCACACCGCGCTAGGCACTTGCTTGAGGCGCTCTCATCGCTGTGCCACTGTTTCACGGCGCGAGCCTCACAAATCCGCGTCGCTTCTCTCAGAAGGGCAGTTGTCAAATACCGCACAGAGCTCGTCGTATTCAGCGCGTGGAGTTTAGATTTGCGCTAGACTGTGACCTCTCGGCAAATTGAAGTGCTGTGGCATTCACGTACCGACCGAGCCATTTAAAACAATATGCAGGACAAGGGCAAATAGTCAAAGTGATTTCCTGCTCAAATGAGCATCCGGGGTGAAGGCTGATTGATTTAAAACTCCCAACCAGGATGCGAATTTTAGTATGTTGAATTTCTTTTGCACTGTATGTCGCCAACCGTACTAATCGGGGGGGAGGACAACACGCTAAACACCAAAAAAAAACTTCTCAAGAAATTACTTTCTTTTCGATTTAAAGCTTTCGTGACTGCAATGATTCATCTTCTTTGGTTCTTTCGGTAAAGTCACGTAGAATGAGAATAAAATAATAAATTTATAAAATAAAATAACACAATAATATTCTCACGACGTTTCGGCCACAACACAAGCGGCCTTCATTCTACGTGACTTTACCGAAAGAACCAAAGAAGAGAAATTACTTTCTATCTCGATAATTGAAAAGTGCATAGCTCCAGCGGCTCCCTAAGGGAGAGCGTTCCAGACGGCCGCAGAAGAGCATCTGAAAGCGCGCGGTGCAGTGACCACCGTCATTGTTCAATGGCCATGCTTCCGGAACCACCGTGCTGGATATTCAGAACTTGGCACAACAACGAAACGAGAGAGAGAGAGAGAGATAAACAATTATATTGATACTCTTTGGTTCTTTCGGTAAAGTCACGTAGGTATAAAATAAAATAAATAAAAATCACGACGTTTCGGGCTTTCCCACCTGATGATGGACGCTTGTGTTGCGCCCGAAACGTCGTGATTTATTTTATTTTATACCTACGTGACTTTACCGAAAGAACCAAAGAGTTTGGGATTCCTGCAGTCACGAAAGCTTCAAATCAATGTATATTTATATCCTTGCACCAGTAACGGAGCCCTTGGCAAACAACGCTGGGACAACCGATTGCCTGTTTGGTGTGCCCCAGCGCCCGCAGCGCTGGGGTTTCACGGTGGGGTTGGTCTGGACCCTGCGACCCTGAATAGAAGTCGGCGCAAGGGGAGCGAGTTGCGATCCATGAGTCACTCTGTCAAGTGCCACCCACCCCTCCCGTCACAATCTGCATGGAGCGAAGCCTGGAGCCAGCCCAGAATTATCGCTCGCATGGGCATAGTGCGTGCATTCGCGTATTTTCTGATCCGTCACGTTATTTGTAAATGTCTCTATGTAATTATACAGTATGTGAACTTACACACAAACGCACATCCGTGCACTGGCGTTTTTTTGTTGTTGCTCCAAACGAAAATATAATAATGTCGTATTTAAGATTTAAGGATGTTGCCCTGTTTTGCGACGGTGAGCGCAACTGGGCTTGCAAACCCAGAGGTCAATCTACCAGCGCGGCAAAGTTGACACAAACGGGGCAAGTTTCTTAAATTCCCCCCCCCTCGCCAGCCCACACCCGGCGCGCCTAGAGTGGGTCCCGTGAGCCCTCTCTCGTGGAGGGCCTTCAGCCAGCAGTAGCGTGAGCGAGCAATCGCAGGGCTGCACCGCCACTGCCTGCTGTTAAGTTTATTTTTTGTACGGTTCTTGTGCAAGGTTGTAAAGCGTTACAGGTGAAAAAATGATCGCACCACGTGAAATTAATATCGGCAATGAAAAATTAGAAAATGTACACTTTCCAATTAGACAATGCCAAGGTGTCTGGGATTATTGTAGAATTAAAATTGGCCGGCACCATGGGATGGTGAACGCCTGAAACGCTCTCTGAAACCCAACGGCGTGGTGGCCACATTGAGGATGAGAGGGATTGAGACTCGTGTGATATGATTTCTCACATGACCGTGTGTGGTATGTGTGTCGTCTTATTGACCGAGTGGGGAGCGGCAGTGTACTGGTCAGTGCACTTTGGCTACATTCCGCTCACAGCCAAAATCGGTGACGAATATCTGAACCGGTTCTGGGCCTCCTCTAGGTCGACTCGGCATTAAATAAGTACCTGCTCCGGTGTTTCAACATCAGCACTGGGGAGACAAAAGCAGCTGGGCGTGGTGCTGGCAACTCAACCCGCTCGTGTGCCGTGCCGGCCTTCATTAAGTGCTCGCTAACAGCACTTGCTCCAGCAGTCTGCTAAGGCTATAAGAGGGGGGTTGGGAGATCTTTGTCTTCGTGACCCATCTCAAGCTCCTATCTAATTACACATTTCACCTTCACAGACACCCCACCCCCCACTACACCTCGGGCAACAGTAGACGAAGCCCGTGCTGACGCTGCAAACTTTGGCGCGAGACCTCATCTCGAGCCAGAGTCCCCCCCCCGTCTCCCGGCTGTATGGGGTGGGGGGGAGGGTCACAGATGAATCACGGAGCCGTGTCGTGGGCACGCGCCCCTGTGCAGGGCGCGAGGAGGTCATTCAATGCGGGCGGCAGGCAGCCTCGGCGAGGTCGCGTGCGCGTTGTACGACGGGCACCGGCGGACGGCGCAATGGTCAAATTGTGCCGCTTGGCTCCGGCGAGTCGTGAACTTGTCTGGGCGGCGTTACGGTCAAATTGTTCCGCTTGGCTCCGGCGAGTCGTGAACTTGTCTGGGCGGCGTTACGCTTCCACCGCGGCGAGTTATCGCGCGTTATTTTAAACACGCGTGCTGGGGGGGGGGGGGCGGGGGGGGGAGCGGGAAGCCCAAGGCCAGCCATTCGGGAGAGAGACGAACTCTTGAACCGGCGGCTATTTTAGGTACGGGCGGTTTCGAATTCGGTGACGAACGACTCCTATGTCGGTCCGCAGGCTGGATGAGAGCGTCGGCGCCACGCCGTGTCGGTCATGCTGGTTGTTCGGGCCGTACTTCGCCACGCTTGCCCCGGCGCGGGTTGCCGATGATTTGTTTTTTTTTTCCGCACAGGGAACGGTCCCTGAGGTCGCTCGCCACTGATGTGAGCCGCGAGCCGGGGACTCAAACTCGAGTCGAGGCGTTCATGTGCCGTACGTATGTGCACGTTGAACTTCTTTCGCACCGTACGCAGCCAACCGTGCTAATCGGAGGTGCGGGAAAGCGTAGGTTTCTAGTGCAGTGTGCTAAATCAGCATGACACCGATCCACCTTTTGATGGATCCCACCGCCCCCTCCCCCCCCCCCTCCCTTTAGGCGTCCTTTTTGGATGCTCGTTTATAAGTCTTCTTTGAAAAGGTGTTAGTATTAGCAGCGCATTCATTAAACTACAGGGGCACCCGCGTGACCAAAGCGCATCTGACACGTATAACGACAGAGGGATTTTGTAACAATTACGATGTTAAATAATAATAATGATGATAGAGAGCGAATGCTCCGGTATTATTCAGCGAGAGCTGCCCGCTGGGACGCAGCGGAATTTGTTTTTGTAGCAAGGATGTAACAAACAACAACAACAACAAAAATGAATTGCGGTAAGTGACAGACGCGTTGTTTATTAAAACGGGTCGTTAAAGCTGCGCGCGGGCCCGTGTCTAGGAATCGCCACATTTGCGAGTCGCACAAATAAATCGTTCACACGCCTCATTAGAGAGTCCTTTGGAGGCGCAGCGCCCCCACCCTCCACCTCCTCCCCCCCCCCCGACGTTTACAATTCAGAAATGTGAATCGGTCCTACCGCCGAGAGTCAACGAGACGTGCACACTTCAAAGAAAGAAAATCGACTCCGTTCGTTGATTTCACTGCGTCGCTGAAAATCGTCCCGCACCGCGGGGAGCTCGCTGGATTTGGCTCCGTCGCCGGATCGTCGCGAGAGATGGCAACGGCTTGGAGGATGCGTTCATTCAGCAGCGGATTGATCATTGCCGATGATGATGATGACTACGCTGCTCGGTGATAACCGTGCTACCACAAAAAGCAACACACCCCCAATAATCGCACGTGTTCGATGGTGGATTAAAGCAAATGCTACGTAGGACAGAAAACGAGGAAGAAAAACCACGCGCACACCATGGATTACGGAGTCCTCTCCAAACTGCTTTTGACCTCAGAGGTATTTCACTAGCTACATGGAAGGCAACAGATCGGCAATTGGTTGAGTTTGAGTTCGATCGTGCAGAAACCAGTCTGTGAATCACGATACCGCTCGCGACAGCCTGCGTGTGGATACAAACAAGCCAACAGCAGGTGCCGGGCAGCAGCTAAACGTCGACGTGTCTGCTTTGTATCTCCATATTTCAGTGTTTTTTTTATTCTTCATATATTATGTAAATCCTTAATAGCATCGCGACGTGAAAAAAAAAGTTTAGTATTCTCATAGGAGGATGATGCTTACGAGAGTTCTAATACCCTCCCTCCTTCCCTCCCTCCCTCCCCCCTCCCTCCCTCCCTCCCTCCCTCCCCCCTCCCTCCCTCCCTCCCCCTCGCTCTCTCCCCCTCGCTCCCTCCCTCCCCCCCTCCCTCCCTCTTTTTTAACGATCAGAAGAAACAGAAAGATGATCGGTCTTTCGGCACTTTGCTTCGTTCATCATGTCGTCTTTTTTTGTCTTTTTTGTTTGCTTATGTGTCCCCTTTTTTAAAATCAAAGATATAACACGGTTTTCCCATGTAACATAAATCCCATTGTGTGCTACTGTGTTCATAAACACCAGCAAAACAATTCAGCCTTAAAAACCCAT